CAATTAAATGTTCTAAATTAATTTTTGTTATTACTGAACTGTGGTTACTATTTATGCATTCATCCATCTCTTGTATTTTTGCATCGAATAATCTATTTGCTAGTTCTTTTGTAATCCAAATTTGATTAATTCTTGATTTCAAACCTCTACCTGATTATGAAAACACTTTTTTTTTTAATTTACTAGTCTGTAAGCATCTCTAAAGTCTTGTTTTGTTAACTACTTGAGTAATAGACTTGTTTAATAGTTTTTGCTTTTGGACTTTCTAACCTGTTTAATTTTGAATTAACTATACTGTTAAAGTTTCCTATTACAATTATTTGTGTTCTTTGTCAGTGTTTGATATATCTTTTTGATTATATTTTTTGAATTTTCTTTCTTTCTTCTTTGTTATTTAGTGGAATATAGAGCATTATAACTATTATTTTAGTTTATTTAAACATGAAGTTGGTTATAATTATATATTTATTTATTTTATCTATTCTTTCTAGATGTTTTTCTCATTGTTTGTTTATAAATATGTCTACATCTGACTCTTTTTTTTGTTTGAATTTGCATTTGCCCAAAAACTCCTGTAATCACTCTGATTGTTTAACATAAAAAACATTTCTTTGTCTGAAATATTTGTTTCTGCTATACTGATTATATCTATTTTGTTATCAATTAACTATTTTTGTAGAATCTCTATTTTTTGATTATTTCTTTTGAAACTGTTAATATTGTGTGTTGCTATGTTTAAGTTAATTTTGTCTTTTGTATAGATTTTTTTTATCAGCATTTGCTTCTCTATTTTATTTTGTTAACTATTTGTTTTGTTTATATCTCCAAGTTTCCCTTTTTGTTTTCTAGAAGTCTTTTTGATATTTCTATTAAGTAATCTCTCCTCAGCTTTTGAATTATTACTTAGTTGGTATAGATGCTATCTTGTATTTGCTATTAGTAAAGAGGATTTTGCTTCTATATCTTATTTTTTTAATTCAACTGTAGCACCTTTCAGAAGTAATTAATTTTTTTATTACTTATACTTGCATCATTGCAAAAATGATATATTTCCAGTCTATCCAATCTTAATAGTATTTTTTGCAGTAATTCTTGCATTTGGTCTAAGATATTATTTTCTTTTGTTTCATTAAACTGGCTTACAAGAATATTATTCTCTTTTTCATTCTTTGTTTTCTTAGTTTTTATATTGCTTCTAAATTCTTCTTCATTTATATCAACCTTAAGATCTTCAGTATTTCTGTCCTTTTGTTTGTTCTTTTTGAAATTTTTCTTTTTCACTCTTACTTTATTTCAAAAGACTCAATAGTTGTTGTATCTTATTGGTTTTGATTTTGCTGCATTCATTTCTTTTTCTGATGCAAAAGTAATTGTTGCTGACCTTCTTTGATTACTATTTCTATTTGATGATATATATATAGATTTGTTTTTCTGCTTTTTAGACAGCATAGAAGCAACACTTCTGATGCATTTGCTAAAAGGTCTCTTAACTTTGTTATAAATTGGCTTTAATGATCATGTTGATTATAGTTCTTATTACATTTGGTTACTCTTGCTAATTTGTAAGTTCTAATTAGTAATAACTATGGAATGTTCTTCTCTGCCAAATAATCTATTTTAATTACTATAAGAGCTTTAAACTTAGATCTTTTGATCTGAATTACTTGTGACTTCCTAATGTTTTTGAATATATGTTTAATTTCTTCTGAATTGATGTTTGCTAACAGATCCTAAATCATAAAACAGTTGTATTGGTCTGTATTATTTTTACTTGCATTGGGTTCTTCTATTTTATTTGCTTCTATTAGACTTGTTGGCTTTACATCTTTTTTTTCCTTTTTTTTGTTATTTCTGAATTGTTGTTTCAAAATTTCATCTGTTTATTGTTCTTTTCTGAGATAAGTTTAAGTCAGTCATCTTCTTTTTCTTTGATTCTGTCTATTGTTTGGTCTTTATTGTATTTATAATCAAAGTCAATCTTAACCTAGTTATTGTCTTTTTTGAAAACTTTCTTTACTATTTTAATATGATAGCTTTTCCTTATGATCCACTTAATGTATTTGACTCTTTCTTTTTTTGAAACTTTTGGTAATATATAAGCTGGCATATTTGCCTTAAAGAAGTTTTTTTATTACAAATTCTGTTTCTTGATGACTATTGGCTATGTTCGATTGTATTTAGGAAGATTGTTTTTGTATCATTATTTTCTTCTTTTTCTACTTTCTGTATTCTTTTATCAATAGTTTTGATATTCTTTATAACATTATAAAGTATATTATTTACTGATATTATAGCATCTTCTTTCAGCTTTTTCATCTTTTTAATACTTGTTTTGTTGTCTTTTAGAGCAACTTTCATTAGTCTTAAACTTGAACTAGAATTTTAATTAATTTTTCTTTTTATGCTAACTTCTTTTTGCTATCTTTTTTTACTAATTACAGGCTTTGTTTCTTTTATTTCTTTGGCTTTAGTTATTTTTTCTATTTCTTTTTTATTTTAAGTATTTTTTTTTTTTTAAAAAAAAAATATTAAGGTGAATACTTGTGACTCAGGATTTTATTGATAGTATATTTAACTAATGATTGCATTACAACTACAAGAGGCAACTATGAAGAGAGTATACAACTAGTCACTTATACAACTTTAGTTATTGTCTAATTTAAATAGTCCATCTAAAGGTTCTATACTAGCTGCTATACCTGAAACCCACTTGTAGATTCCTTATTTAACTATTCTGTTTCTGTATTCACTCATCTATCTCTGCCTACTAACATTCTAACTGATGTTAATAAAAATATACCATGATCACTAAGTCTTTAAAGCAGTTCATTTATATGAAGAACCTTTGATCTTGTACTAAACCTTTCAGAATCTTCTGTATCCTATTTTTACAACTGACCTGGTATCACTATAGCCAAGATCAACATTGATGATCAAGGTGTACTATTAAACTGCTATGTCTATGTAAAGTTTACCCAATCCTAGTACTAACTTCACAACATATTCTTACTACTTTGGTATTCAATTTAAATTCCACCAAGCTACCATTCCAGATAGCCCAAAAAGGTAGAGTAAAATCATATCTTAGGTTTATATGTTTACCATCATGTACTCTTTTTCTTTGAAACCTGAAAATTCCAGTAACCTGGTTAGTTTATCTGGTCTTTTTTCAAAGACTGACATATTTGTTTAGTTTCAAAAGTTCTAACTCTATTTCATAAGTTTAGTCTTTACAGTAATACTATTGAAGGTTCAGGTTACCTCTTTATTCAGGTCTTTCAAGTAGGCTTCTGTCTTTCTATCTGGTTCCTGTGATTTACATAGTCTAAGAACTTATTTTAGATTTACATGCCTGATACTAGTTTGTGTTTTCTTGTATAACATTGTATAAATGCCTAAACCTTCTTGTCATGCTAGTATGCCATAGGTTACAGGTATCTTATTCCAACTAATCACAAAAAACAGTTAACTGTAACACAGAAAGAATTGCAAATTTTTACCATCACTGGGATTTGAACTTTAAACCTGTCACTTGAGGGTTGACAACCTATTCACTTCACTAGGTCACTACACCTCACAGATTAAAAATTTTTTATATAAGTAAATTGTTTTAAAAACTTAGTAATTATGATATATTTACACTAGTAAAAACTAAACAGTTGGTAAGATAAGTAAATAAATAGATACAAAATCCAAAATATTTAAATAGAGAACTCACAAATAGGTTCTAGATATAATAGCTAGTATAAACCTTCAAACAGACTACTTAAATTAAACAATAACTAAAGTTATATTTGTATACTTTTTCTATAGTTACCTTCTATAACTGTTGTAATACAATTACAAAGTTAAAACTTATCAATAAAAACCTGAATTACAAGTACTTACTTTAACATTAAAAAAAAAAAAAACCAATAAAAATATAAACAAGGCCTTACCTTATAAAAATAAAAAATTTTGTTATTAAGAATTAACTTGTTTGCAATAATCTCATTTTTCTTATATTATCTAAAATAAAAATTGGTTATAATTAAAAAATATTTTGATTTTTTTTACATTATAACTAGAATAAGACAAGTAAAATGTTTTTATTATAATTTTACTCTACTTATAACCTAACCCTAACATTATTTTAAACCCTTTTTATAATATCTCAAATTTTTGATAAAGTAACCCTGTTGCAAAAATGTTCTCACAATTTTACTGTATGCTAATCCTAACCTCCAACTTAAGCCTAATCTAATTTCTATTATACGTATACTTAATTTTGCTATGAAGACACAAAAATTTAAATTTCAATAATTTTATAAACTTTTTTTTTAAAAAAAATCCTAACAAAAAATCATTTAAAATAATGAGTAATTTTGATTTTTTTTTTTGTCTATATAACTGATATAAAGAAACTATTGTTAGAAATACGATATAGTGAGGAATTTTTTAAAATCCGTTTTATCGAATTTTGATCTATTATATCAAGATTTTACGATTTACCAGAAATCCACATGCCTTTTATAATTACGGAACTTTTACTTGATCTATCCTGTCGTTAATAACGGATCTAATACTAGTTTTATTACATTAATTATCTCCAGACCAGCCCCATCCGTACGTACTTATCTCTTACGTGTTTATTTGTTGCTTTACAGTGAATTGTTTAATGATACGTAGAAACTTGTTATAATTAAATAATGTGTGGGTATCAAAAGTTTTTTGATTATATTTTGCTTTTTTAAAATAAAATATGATAAAGAGAAGAAAGGAAGTACGTAAAAAGTGTATAAGGAAATAAATTAGTTATATCCTGTGCACTTGGATAATTGACGTAGGTCAGCCGCAATCCATGTCTACTGCAAAATTCCCAACTGCCCAGGATATAATTATTTTTTTATTGATGGTTGTTGTGTCTCATGGTTGATTATGCGATACAGCATTTGTGATTATTTATAAATACAATTATGAATCAGTTTGGATAAAAAAAAAAAAAAATTTGAAACGAGAATATGAAATATCCATCATGGTCCGTTCTGGAATTTTACATATTAAAAGTTACCGTTAAACGTATGGATGCCGATGATGTTGTGGAAAGTTGCAGTCGTAAGACATCAGAACCAAAACAATTATCAAGCCCTTGGTTCAATGGAAGATGGTTTGAATCTTTTATCCGAGTGAGGAACAGAGAAAAGTTGATGTGTTGGTTTGGTGTTGCACAATCGATTTATCGATTTTACGAGAGGAGGAATGTGTGAGCTAACTATTAAATCTTTACGTGAAAAGGTTGTAAATATGGATAGCTACAAGAATACTAAGCTCTATTCAGTAGCTTACTATGATTTACCTGTCCAATAATTTTAATTTTATTATTCGGCAGAGATAATAGTTTAATCTATGCTTAACTGTCATCTCTACACAATAATAAAATTATTGAGCAGGAAAATCATAGTGAGCCCAATTTTAAGGTGGTTCGAGAAGGAAAACGACAAAATTTTGAAATTAAAATTCGAACTAAGAAATCATTCCTAGAAAGAAACATCGTCATTGTAATAAAATTGTGAAGGATTATGCTTTCTTGAAAGAGATTTTAACCTCAGTCACTTCCCGAGATTGAACATGATTTAGGATTACGCATTATCGTTTGGGATCAAAATCAAAAAACGGATGTCCAAACTCGGTATCATTTCGTTGGATCCTGGTTCTCGAACGTTTATCACTTCACCGACAGTCATTTTATCGACATCACTTAGGGTGACAATTCAGCATGTTATTAGTTTTAGCATATATAATTTGTAAATTGTTACGTTATGTGATGTCGGTTAGGTGGTTTGTCGGCAAAATGATAAAATGATAACGTTTATTTCGTTTGTCAAGGAGGTACGATTTTTATCAGAATGTATGAATCTTTGGTCAGGGGTATACGAACAAGAGAAACGATATCGTAGCTGGCCAAATACCTTTGTGACAACTACGACTGTAATCTCTTGCCCGTATTTAAGAGTCAAGACATGGTGCAGGAAATATTACGACGTAAGATCTCAGGAAAAGTAGCTCGTATGTTGTTCACCTGGTCGCATAAGAGTCAAGAGTACGAAATTGCCATGCTATTATGCTATCATATGCGATGAAGCGTATACCAAGACATGCGGACGATGTGGGACGTTGAACAACATATTGGGTGTTAAAAAGCTTTTAATTGTGGCCTTTGTAGTTAAAAGTTGAACAGGATTTGAATGCCGCGCGTGATATTTGATTAAGTATTTGATCAAATCATGTCGATAAAATGTTTTGCATCTTTTATCAAACGGTGGAAGGTTTACTACCATGTTTATTCGTGTTGGATTTAATTTCAACGGACCCCAAAAATATTTGTGTAATATCGGAATTGTAAATAAGTTGTGTGCCGCTCACAAATAAATTGTGTAACAAAATTGTATATAACTCAGTCATTGATGGCACCCTATATAAACTACTCAATAATCAAATTGGTTTTGTTGAACTTTTGCATGTTCAACTATAAAATCTAAAATGTCAACTACTCACGATTCCCCACCACCCATTCCGCCAAAGCCTAATACACCAGACAGGAATTCGCAAGTTAGTAACGTCACAAATATTGGTCAGCTGCTAAATTTGATTGATAATGAAATCGGAAACTCTCGTTCAGACGACGAAACTCGGAATCAGGCGACAAAAAGGCAAACAGTACATATAGATCCAAAGCATCAACCTATGCCGTTGAATACAAGTGTAAACACACACTTTCCTGAGGCTACAAATACTGCAAACCCGATGCAGCCACAACAAATGCTACCCCAACACGCAAATGCACCACACGTTTATCCTCCACAGCCAAATTACAATCCTGCGCAACCATATTATAATAATAATTACAGTGGGGGACAGTATCAATATCAAGGAGCATATACTGGGTCTTATTATTCGTCATATCCTCGTGACCTAACGTCTCAAGGATGGCCTGCTCAGACGTCGGCTTATCCACCAAACTCTAATACAAGGCCTCTGCCTAATCCACCTTCAAATACAATCTATCCTTCGCATAATCAATCTGTTCAATATTCTCACAACATGTACTCGTATGGAGTCCCTTACGTACCTCCGACAAATGTACCAATGCCCGATTATCTTAAATACATAGATAATTCTGCGGGATCACATGTTCAACATGTTGGCCAAAACATTCAACCACCACGAAGGAGTCCTCAACCACATACACAGGTAAGAGTATTCGTTATAATCGATTTCTTCGTCTAAATCCAGTTCATTAATTATCAATTACCGTTTTTAGCCCGTATTTTCGCCAGAATTACCTTATGAAGCATATCCTACTGATTATACACATAAGTAAGAGAGCTTGAGATAATTTAAGTCGTAACGAGAATACTGTAAATAATGTTACTAACAATTCAAAATATGAATTTGTCTAAGTTACCCTCCTACTCCCGGTCCTGCAACTTGGTCGTCAACATCTTCGCAAACGACATCAACAAAACAAACAAGTTCAATACCAGAAGTCAAAAAACCGTATTTAGCTGCCCCTCGACCGACGAATCCTGCATTGCTATCGTGTATAGCACTAGCATTTCGAACTAATATTAAGTTAGGGACTCATGTGAAAGGGGCACTGGAATATCCAGAAAGTTTTACAGGCAAAGATGCAGTGGTATTGCTTCATTGATTATTCCAATCGATTTATATACTTATACCAAACTATGGATTTTACATTATTAAATAATCGAATATGATTTGTTAATATTAGAGCACAATATTCTCTGTTGTTCAACATTATGTACCCAGCGTTCTTCGTCATATCGCATTATCAATGGCTCGTTCGTTAGAAGCCCAACTTTATTTCCATTCAGTCTACTGGGCCGATGTTACTGTAATCAAAGATACAGAAGATGAAGTTTATACATTCCTAAACCCAGATCCTGAATCTCCTACAGCCATCGAATTGGATGAAGATTTTCCAACCGGGGTTTTCCCTATTATTGCAAAATGCTATAGCCCTCGTTGTGGTTTCGATGGCAAAGGTTGTTATTCTAGGACTTGTCCCAATTATGTTCCAGGCGTGGTTAGTAAACATTTTAATTATGACTTTAATCATGTCAACATTTTTAATAAAAACAGTTTGTTTAGCGGTCCTTATTGCTCTGTATCTTTTTTTACACGTTATAGAATGAAAAACCACCAGATCCTGCTATGATAATACCAGAAATCTTGACACCTATTGATGCCGTAGAAACTCCGGTAAGTAATAGTTAAAAAAATCATGGATTAATACTAAGAACTTACGATTACTTTCAAGATTTGCTGCACCAATATCTCGTTTGATATTACTTATTTAAAAATGGATTGGTTAAAAAAACTTACAAGAAATATTTGTACATAAAAGGCTCAGGACCGTACATGGGTTGGATCTGTGCCGAAGGAAATTTTGGAGTCACTTAGTAAAGAAGAAATAAAACGCCAGGAAATTATTTTTGAAACAATATATACTGAAGAAGATTATGTGAAGGATTTGGATCTCATCGAAGAGGTGATATATGCGTATATATATAGTCGAATGTTTGAAATGTATATTTGGGTTTAATATGCTTATTTTTTAAACTTTTGATAGCTTTATATAAAAGGACTTCGTACATCTTCGCCACCAGTTATTCCAACTCAACTTGACAGCTTCATCCAAGAAATCTTTTTTAACGTCTTAAAGATTCGTGATCACAATCGAAAGATGCTTGAACGACTACAAAAACGTCAAAAGGAAAATCCGGTGGTGGCAGTCATTGGAGATATATTCTTTGACTGTGCGCTAGAATTCGGCAATGATTATATAGATTACAACGGGCATTTTCCTATCGCTGACAGTCATATTAGGTCTACAAAACTAAAGAATCCCGAATTTAAGAGATTCTTAGAGGTATTAAACTATTCTTCAAATGATAAGTATCTGTATTAAATTGGTACATAATTAATTTATAACATGTTGATTAGCAATGTTCACGATCTAAAGAAGCTCGTAGACTTGATTTCCGCCATTTTGTTCAACGTCCTACTACACGTCTACAACGGTATACATTATTACTCGAACAGATTAAGAAACATACACCAGATGAAAATGAAGACAAAGGTTATCTTGACAGTGCACTGCAAACAATTCGTGAACACTGCGTTGTAAGCGATAATAGAGTTCACGAAGCCGAAAATCGACTGAAGATTTTGGAAATTGAACGTAAATTGGTCAAAAAAGATGGAGGCCCTTGCGTACGAATAAATTGAGTTATAATGTTCTTAATATGAAGCTTTATTATTTGAAATTATGCATCTAAACCTTTTTATATTACTATATTTGTATAACTTAGAATGAACTCAATGAGCTCAATCTTTCCGACCCAAATCGACAGTTGTTATTCAAGGGTGAATTACAAAAGAGAACCAGTCTTGATAAACATGATTTATTGGTGTTTCTCTTTGATAATTATTTGGTTATGACAAAGGAAAGAAAGGGTCCTGATGGTGAAGTAAAATACCAACTATCAAAGAAGGTATGTGAAAACATTATGTATTTGAATTGACAGAGTATTCTAACCTTTCAATCATGCTTCTATAAAGCCTATTCCATTAGGTTTACTTATTATAGATACTCCTAGTGAAACTCTGCAACAAAAGGCTCCAACGTTTCATATCAACATTAAACCACTTGATCAAGTTAGGAAAAGAACTAATAGTACGTTGCAATCTCCTATTTCACCGCAAATTGTCACTGATCTTGAAGGACAAGGCAGTGCTTATGGTCGACATCCGTTCACCATCCTCCACATTGGGCGACATGGAGGCCAATATCAATTGTTTGCAGATTCAGATACTACGCGAAAAATGTGGAAAGATAAAATACAAGAGGCACAAACAAAACTTCTATCGAACGAAGCTGTTAATAAACAGATCTTTGAAATATTTACGTTAAATGATTCCACATTTGTAATTAGCACTAGTGGATCAACTACTGCAGGACCATCAACATCCGTATCAAGAAGCAAAGTTACATGTTCCGTACCTTTTGGTAAGTCTTAGTCCATTGACATATTGACTTTTTCTATATAATCTCATTATTATTGATTTTCAAATCAGTCACATCTGACAAACGTAACATGGTTGCTATTGGAGCTGAAGACGGTGTCTGGATGGGATTTGGAGGAGAAGTGAGGACTTTCAAGCAAGTTTTAACTGTTAGCAATGTGACCCAGATGGCAGTTCTTGAAGATTTTGGAATATTTGTTGTATTATGTGGTGAGTATTTACAAATTGAGGTTTAAATGAGAGTTCTTTAATTTAAGATATTTGCTTTATATAGATAGGACTCTCTGGGCATTTTCTTTGGAGGCTATAATACCATCATCATCAAGCGCAAACTCTCACAACCAACCATATCGCCAACGCCTGAGCGCTGGTAACAATGTCCAATATTTTAATGTTGGCGTTATAAAGGAAAGGAATTCTACGAAGGAAAAAACTTTAGTAGTATACATGAAAAAAAGGGGTTTAGAAAGTCACTTTAAAGCTTTGGAGCCCGTATATGCAGTCGGCTCAAGTAGTGATAAATCAAAAGCTTCATCTTCCCGTCGTGGTGCATTTGCTAATCTAATTTCCTCAAAAAACGAGTGGTTCAAGGAATATAAGGTAATATTTCATTTATATTCTGCAGTATTATTATATATTTTCTTATTTAGTTATACTGTTTATACATATTAGCAATTTTATATCCCATCTGAATCATTTTCGGTGAACTTTCTGAGGTCCAAGCTTTGTGTCGTATGTACACGTGGATTCGAAATTGTAAACTTGGATACTTTACAGAATGTAACTATACCCGATTTCTCTGATCCATCTTTTGCGCAACTGGGAAGGAAACTAGATACGTCCAAACCGCTTGGAATGTTTAGGTTAAATGATGATGAATTTTTGTTATGCTATGATGGTAACCATTTAATTATTTGTTTCATCGTATTCACTAACTTCAAGCCAACATTTATACGATATTAATATTCATAATTATTTTAGATATATTTTTCTATGTTAATAAGCATGGTGAATTATCGCGAAAAAATGTGATGGAATGGGAGGGTCATCCAGAAACAGTAGCATTGCATTTGCCATATATTATTGGATTTGATCCGTTGTTTATCGAGATACATGACGTTGAAACGGTTAGTAAAGTTCATTTACTCATACATTCTCAGAAGTATGATAATACATCTGCTCACTGTTTATTATTACTATTCTTAGGGGAAGTTATTGCAAGTAATACCAGGAAAGAACATGCGATGTTTGAACGATAATTCTTCAGGAAAACACGCAATACATGCTGTTATGCATCACCCTTATTATGACGCACAATACATATTCCAATTAGTAGCGGCTGATATCAGAAGGCATGATAGTTATAGATCTTCTCGTTAATGATGCAACGTATTTTATTAATTGTCGTATTTACATTATGTTTTATCTACTTTTAAATTGTATTATATAGTAGAAATTTTTATGCTTAAAATTTGACGTGCAATTTATTATTTATATCGTAATATGAGAATAATATATTTGTAATTGTTTTTTTTTTGTTACTTATATATTTATAATAAACATTCAGATAACATTAAAGTTTTGATAAGCGAAGTAATAACAATACTATTTCTTGTAGATTAACATAGACAAATTTGTCTGGCTTCATTATAACCATAATTTCTATTTATTTTTTAAAAATATATGTTATACCCGTTAATGTGTTAGCTCATAATACCCCAGTTGGATGCATCAATCAGGATCTTGCTATATATGATTTGTATAGACCTTCGGGACCGTCGATACACCGTCAGTAATTTGATCCTTCAGCATACGCGTGATCTGTTGTTAATATGGGGTCAAACGCTCGACACACCTAAATTTTATGTAAAATTTAGGCAAATTTTGCTTATTTAGCTTATTTAACAACAAAGAAGCTATCGGTTTATTTTATGGGCATCATTTTACAAATCCTCTAGCATTTGAAGGTTCTTGTTAAGAAATTTTAAAGATGTTAATAATAAAACTGAGATCACGAAGTTGGGCAATTGTTTCGTGATTTTACTGTGTATCATGATCTACATACTGCATAAATTGTATTCTTGATATCTTTATAATCTACTATCCTTAACTGCGTTTCCCAAAATTGTTAATAGCATCAATTTTGTTATTCATATCTTTTTTTAGTGTTGTATATTTTGACTGTCCCAAGCTTTTTTCTTTGTTCTGTCTTATCTTATTCCAGGATGTTCCAACTTTGTTTCATTAATATCTCTACTAATAATTTATAAAATTATATAAAAATAATAAGAAAAATACTACAATTAACTCATGATAATCATCACTACTTCTATTTTTAGAGTTAGGGTGCAGTTTGAAACAGAAGCAAGAATTAGATATAATAGCCTAGATTTTAGGTTACACAAGGTTTCAGGGTTCTGAACATTTTTATTTAGTTTACCTAACCCTTGTTTTTTAGTATGTTTTTTGAGATATAGTTTCTAGGTGATGATCATCATAGGTTTTAGTTAGTAATATTTAAATAATAATATATGTAAAATTAAATTTGAGGCTTAGGTCACAGGTAAAGTCATTTGAACTTTAATTCCTGTATGTAGTTTTTATTTTGTATTTTATAATCTTAGTATATTTTAATATATAAGGTGATATTAATAGAAATAAGACAAATTTATTAAATAGATTTGTCTCATTTTTATTGATATTATCTCATATATTAATTTTTTTTTATTTTTTTAAGGTGACCTCTTTGATCTTTTGACTTTTATTAACAACTTATTGTTAATATAATTCAATGAACTATTACAGAAGAGAGTATAATTAGTTATATATATAACTTTTTTATATTATCTATTTAAGGAGTTTGTCTAAAGGTTTTATATCAATTGCTATATCTAATACTCTTGCTTGGATATTTTACTTTAAATCTTCTAAACCTGTAATCTATATTAATTCACTAGATCATATTCAGATACTCAGATTATCATCTTAATCTTAAAACTACATTAGCAGAATAAATATACGAAATATTGCGAAAGATTTTGCATACCGAAAATCTTTCGAAATAACTGCGATTGACACGAAATTATTTCGAAATAAAATAATTTCGCAATATTGTGAAAGAAATAAAATAATTTCGAAAATATTTCGGCTAATTTACAAAATTTTAAAAAATAATAAAACTAAAAAAAAATGAAAAAATAATTCGAATAATATTAGAAATATTTAGAAAAATTCGAAATATTTCGAATATATTGAAATTATTTCGAAATATTTCGAAATATTCGAAAGAATTTCGAAATAATTAAAAATTTTCGAAATAATTTCGAAATATTTCGAAAAATACGAAATAATTTTTATTAATAAATTTATTTTATTTTATTTGAAATTTTGC